CCCTGCTGTATTTAAAGAAAATTGCAGGTTTGACACCTATCAATGATTTTGATGAAGTAAAATTTTGGAGTTCTCTGGACTATTGTTTTATACAAAAGTGTTCTCTAAAATAAATTGTACCACACCCCTTATCCAGTGAACTCCAGTCTTAAAATGAGGCAAAATTAACTATTTTTGCTGAAGATTTCAATTTTTGAATGAAGTTCATATACATTATCTAGAAAAATTCAAGGAGCAAGAGTTTGAAAAATTTTATTATATTTTGTTGTTATGAATATTCCAAAAATGGAATTCTGGGAATTAAAAATATTAAAGTAGATTTTAATTAGCTGATGAGATGTTGGATTAAAAAACGAGGAGGTCAGAGAAGGCATCTTGTATTCCCAAAGCTAAATTTGGAGAATTATAGAAACCTGAATATTAACTAAAGAGGTGAAAGATATCTATGATGAAAATGATAAAACATTGGTGAAAGAAACTGAACAGGATACACAAAGAAAAGGAAATAGACCGCATATTTACAGAATAGAAGACAGTATGGTTTATATGTCCATTCTCCCCAAAGCAATCTAGAGTCAATATAATTCCTGTCAGAATATTTATATATTCTTCTAGACAAAACAATTATTGCATGTAATCAAATAAAAACAAAGCAAAACAAATACCCCAATTGCTAAAGCAATATTGAGCAAAAAGATTAGGAGTCATTACACTACCCGACTTCAAAAAATACTACAAAGCTGTACTAATCAAAATAGCATGGTATAAGCACAAAAACAGACATGCAGGCCAATGGAACAAAATAGAAAATCTAGAAGTAAATCCATATATAGCTTACTGATTTTTGACAAGTATGTTAAGAACGTTCGTTATAGAAAAGTAGTTTTTTCAATAAGTGATGCTGGGAAAAGTGGGTATCTACATAAAACAAACTGATAGATGGTTATATCTAGGACTACCTACCTAAGAAAGCAATAATATTCAAGGACTAAATTTCTTATGAGTCCCAATGAAGTTTGTGTGTGTGTGTTCCTGTTTACTTTTTAAGTGCAGTAAAGTATAAATAACTTAAAATTTAAGGCATTAAATATATTAACATCTCTGTATATCCTTTACCATTACCCATGTCCAGAAGAGTTTCAGCATCATGAATTATAACTTTGTACACATTAAATAATAACTCATCTGCCTCTATCAAGTCCTTGGTCACCTTTATTCACTTTTTGCCTTTGTAAATATGCCTACCCAGGATATCCAGTAAAAGTAGACTCATAGAACATTTTTCTTTCTTATTTCACTTTTCATAATGTTTTCAATTTCATCCATGTATCAAAATTTTTGTCCTTTTTAGAGCTAAGTAATATTTCATTGTATATATAAGTATATGCGTATATTTGGTTTATCCATTGGTCTGTTGATGGACACTTGAATTATTTCTGCACTTTAGCCTTGTGAATTACACTGCCAGGAATGTAGGTACACAGATATTTGAGTCCCTCCTTTGAATTCTTCGGGGTCTCCATGTAAGAATGAAGTTGCTGGATCATATAATAGTTCTCTGTTTAACTTTCTGAATTACCACCAAACTGTTTTCCATAGCAGGTGTACCATTTTACATTTCAACCAGTAATGACTGAGATGTCAATTCATCCACATCCTTGCCAACATTTTTTAAATGACTCTCCTTAATGAAGTTGTGTTTCAATATAGTTTTGATTTCTGTTTCCCAAATGATGAGTGATGTTGAGCATCCTTTCACTTGTGTGTAGTCATCTGAAAATCTCTATTCAAGTCTTTTAACAATTTTTGAATTGAGTTGTTTGGGGTTTTTTTTTTGTTGTTGTTGCTGCTGAACTTTACATGTTCCTTTATATTCTGGTTATTGATCTCTTATCAAATATACAATTTATAAATATTTTCTTCCATTCTGTATGTTGTCTTTTTACCTCCTCATAGTATCTTTGATGTGCAAGTTTTTTATTTTGAAGTCTAATTTATCTGTTTTCTCTTTTGTTGCTTGTCCTTCAGTGTCATTGTGCTCAAAAATCACTAACAAATGAAATGTGATGAAGGTGGCTCCCCATATTTTCTTGTAAGAGTTTTATAGTTTTTAGCTCTTACGTTTAGGTCTTTGGGGAATTTTGAGTTTGCTTTGTATGTGCGAGTGCACGTGCATATGTGTGTGTATGTGTGTTTGTGTTATAAGGTAATAGTTCCATTTTGTTCTTTTGATGTGGACATCCAGTTTTCCAAGCACCATTTATTGAGAAGAGTGTACTTTTCCCATTAAATGGTTTTGGCACCTTTGTCAAAAGTTAGTTGACCATATATGAGGGTTTATTTCTGTGCTTGCTGTTCTATTTCATTGGTCTGTCTTTCCTTGTGCCAGTATTACATTGTTATGATGACTGTATCTTTGTAGCAAGTTTTGGAATCAAAGTGTTAGATTTCAACTTCTTTCATGATTATTTGAGATATATAGAATTCTTTACAATTCCATATGAATTTTAGGATCACTTTTCTTATTGTCAAAAAATTCATTGGGATTTTGTTAAAGACTGTATTGAATCTGTACAGTGCTTTGGGTAGTATCAAAATCTTAACAATATAGTCTTCTAACTCATGAACACAAATTGTTTTTCCATTAATTCATGTGTTTAATTTCTTTTAGCAATGTGTTGTACTTTCTAGTGGACAAGTCTTTCACCTTCCTGGTTAAATTTATTTGTATTGTTTTTGTTTTTATACTATTTTAAATGAAATTTTGTTAATTTCTTTTCAGATTAATCATCATACTGTATAGAAATACAACTTCAAATTTATTGAATTTGTTAATTAGACCTAACGGCTTCTTTTGTGAACTAGAGCCTTCAACATACAATTATATCATCTACAAAGAAAGATTATTTTACTTCTCTTTAAATCTGAATAACTTTAATGTTATAACTGTTGCTCTGACTAGAACTTGTATAGTCAGCCCTCCAGAACTGTGTGGGTCATATCTGAAGGCTCTGTGTCTGTGCATTCAACCAATCATAAGTTGAAGATAAATTTTTTGTCATGTCAGTGCTAAACTTGAACAAACTTTTTTTCCTTATCATTCTCTAAACAATTTAGTACAATGACTATTTATATAGCCTTTACCTTGTAGGCGGTATTATAAATATCTAGAGATGACTTAAAAGTACAGTATATGGAAGGATTACATAGGTTTTATGCAAATATATGCCATTTTATGTAAGGAACATGAGCATCCATGGATTTAGTGTCCATGGGGATGGTGGGTGGAGGTTCTGGAACTAATTGTCATGGGTACTAAAGAGTATGTAAGAGTGTGTTAAATCTTGTCAAATGCAGTTGAGGATTATCATGTTTTTGTTTTTGTTTTGCCTTGTTTTATTTTTGCTTCATTCTATTTATATACTACATTAACTTATTTTCACATGTAAAAACTATTTACCTGACCTTGCATTCCAGGAATAATTCCTATTATAATTCCTACTATGTAATGCTTACAAAAATGTCTTTTACTCTGCTGCTGAATTTGGCTTGCTGTTATTTTGTTGAGAATTTTTGTATCAGTAAGGGCTATTGCCTAGTTTTAAAATTAAAGTTTTATTGCAACACAGCCATATCTATTCATTGTAGTACTGCTTGTGGCTCCTTTCATATTACAGCAGAAGAGTTGAAGAGTTACAACAGAGATTTACATGACCCATCTGGCTTAAAATATTTACTATCTGGCATTTTATAGAAAAGTGTTAACAATCTCCAAATTAAATAAATAACCCTTTTTGCTGTGACTACACACTACTTGGGAACTCTTCCAGTTCTCATTTGGATTTCTAGGTAGATATATTTAAAGATGGTAGCCCTGGTCATGTACTATTGAATTTTTAAAAAATTTTCTAAATTTTTATTTTAAAGAGAATAAAACCAAGCAAAATAAAACAGAATAAAGGCAATCAAAACAAATCAGTGTAAGTGATACAGGACTTCAAAACAATAGGAAATCAACAATGGTTATCATAATACCTTTTGTCTTCAAAATAGCTACACATACCTTCAGACATAGTAAAGATCAAACAAAGTGGAAACAGAATAGAACCAATAAAAACAAAACAATGAATGCAATAAAGTACTTCAAAACAAGATGATAGTAAATCTAAAATGACTACCATAATATATCTTGTTATCTTTGAAATAGCTGCCCATGCCATCAGATATAATAAAATCAAACAAGATAAAACAGAATAAAACCCAACCAAACAAAGCAATGAGAATGATACAGGATTTCAAAACAAGATAATAAGGAATTAATGAAGGCCGCCGCCTTCAGATCCCTCATATATGCTACACTGTGTATTGTTATCCTCTGAAAAGATGATCAGATTACTGGCTTTAGGTCTGCAAAGTCAGTGAAACACTAAGCATTAAATTGTTTAATGTAACAATAACCATGTAAATGTTTAATGTAACACTAAGCATTAAATTTTACTCTATCTCAATAACCATCATCACAGCCTGTGTTTCTCCTGATCAGCTGGTCACTTGGAGGTGGGAGGTTGGCTCTTGTTTCCCAGCCCAGGCCCTGCAAGGGGATGGGGTCTGGCTTTCCTCCCAGCGGCCTGTACATGGCACTGATTCACAGGAAAGGCTTGCTTCTTGGTGACTTCTTGTTCTCTCCCCACAAAGTCTGTAAATGGCCACCATTGAATATCTTAGATTATATAGCAGTTATATATTTCACAGTAAGTTAAAAAATTAGCATTCTAGTTTTATAGATTCACTCTCAACAGTCTCTTCTATTTTTAGCAGACTCAAGGTTCAGAACTCACAAAACTGAGGGAAGAATCCCATAAATTAGAAACTAATCAAATTGCCATTTTGGAAAGTTTTGTCTGGGTATCCAACCTGATGACTTTATCTGGTAAAAACTTAATTTCACAATGTATCTTTTTTGATTTATAAGACTTCACATTTCTGTTTTTTCTTTTTAGATTTCTCCATCCTGCTAAAGAAGAACAATTTCTTATTTGGCAAAGCTGATGGTCGTATGTGAAAACAAGATCCTTGTGAAGGTCAGAATCTGTACTTTTTACACAGTAAAAATAATTATTCTGTGTATGCATGTGTCACAAAAAACAAACTGAATAAAAAACTCATCATTTTTTCCCAGCTTATCCTACAGTTTTAACAAATCTTGTGTGTCATTTCTATAGATCTTTATAATTTACAAAGTACTTTCTACATAATTATCTCATATAGTTTTCACAATAACCTTGTGAAGTAGCACTATTGCTGTTCTGTTTTTTTTTTTTTTTTTTTTTTGTCTTTTTCTTTTTTACCGGTACCAGGGATCGAACTCACGACTGCCTGCTTGCAAGGCAGGCGCTTATGCCGCTGAGCTAAATCCCCAGCCCTGCTGTTCTGTTTTATGGAAATGATGACAAAGTAAGAGACTCAAACTCTTGTAACTTGTTGAGTTCTAAAGCTTAGTCCCAGGATAAAATGGAAGCAAAGCTTTGTAAATAGGGAAGGGAAGAAGGATTGAAAAGAGGAGAGGGGGTTGGGGGAAAAAAAATCAAAATATATTACAATAAAAAAGCTTATCCAATTTTTTTGCCTCTAATCTTATCAAGTTGATGCTAAGTAGCAGAATTTAGTAGACATGTAATTATGCAAAACACATGGACATTGGAAAAAAACATGCAAAAGTTTATTTAAAAAGCATTAAAATCCCTTTGTGGATGTGAAATACCAATAAATCAGATTGTGACACTGAATGCCTAACATAATCTTTGGGATAATACCAAAGTCCACTATATATGATAGTTTATCATTTTTTGTAAGGCAAACAAGGCTTGTCATGAATTAGCTCTTACCTACTTTTCTAGTTTAACCTTTTTCAGTTCATCTCCACAGCTTATTGTATCCCTTTCCATCCACAATACATGGTTAATCTTTCTCCAAGTACATTGTCAGTTTCTATGTTTTAGTACCTTGTACTATATTCTGATAAAATGCCTATTTGTCTTCTCACAATTATAGCTCACCTTTATCTCTGCTAAGCTTTCCCTGGCTTTCCAGGCAAAACTGATTATTCATCCTATTTTCTCAGAACACATTGTATAGCAAATGTGTTACTATAAAAAATCACATTATGACTAGGTAGCAGGGAGCAAAAAGAGAAGGCAAGGACAGAACATATCCTTCCCAATCATACCACCAGCAATCCACCTCTAACCAGGCCTTACCTCCTAACAGCACATTCAACTACTGAATTCCTCGATGGATGAATTCACTGATGCGTATGCTATGATAATCCAGCCACCTTCCAAAAACCCTATCTCTGAACACAGACTTTTGGAGAACATTTCAGATTTAAACCATACTTCTTGCTTTCTGAAAAGAATATCTATTTAAAAAGTTTGGTTGTACAGTATGTGATGTTACTCTTGCTAATGGAAATGTGCTGGGCTATGTTAGACTTAGTTTTATCAAGATAGACAAAAACTTGAGAGCCATTCCCCTAAGTTTAAGATCCACTGCCAGAAATGAAAGAAACTTCTGGAAAAGTATGAGATCTTTATCACTGAAAATGACGTTTTAGGGATGTTAGAGGGAAAATTCAAGCATTGACTAAAATTAGTGGAATTGTATACAGGAAGGAGGAGGTGTTAAACTAAATTTCTTAACTTTAATTAAAAATTTTTTGGGGTACTGGTGATCAAACCCAGGGCCTCTTAGATGCTAGGCAAGTATATGTTAACCAGAGTTTTAACATTCCTTCAAACTTACAGTTTTATGTATATACCACCAGACCAATTATTAAACACAAAATATTGTAAGGGACAAAATAATAATAAGAGAAAATAAAATATATAAAGTCCAACTTTATAGATTACTTTGCAGCAAACATCAAACTTATTTTTATAATGATTCCTTTTAATTTACTAGCCATCTTTGTATACTCAAATATACTTCATTTTTATAAAAATTCTACTTTTAAGATTTTAGGAATATATTTTATAAAATGACACAGGTACATATTGTTCTTTATTTCAAAAAATACTTCTTAAATTGTGTTGTGAAAAAATATGGAGGAAGGAAATGAGGTGGCCTCTACTACTACTGCAGCAGTAAATTTAAAAGGAAATTGAGATAAGGTATGTAAGCAGCCACCACAGTGCCAGTAAGTGATAGATGAAGAAGCAGAAAATAAAGATAGCGCCATTGCTGCCACTGCCTTTATGACTTCCACTGCTGCTGCCACTGTAGTGTTGCTGCTGCTTTTCTCTCCCATATCATACCTTTCTAGCCCTTCAGAAAGATTGGTGTTGGATATGTGTATATACACATATGCACGTGCCACCACACACAGAGATGCGTCTTCGTTTATGATTGGGTTACATCCCAATGAACCAAATATAAGTTGAAAATTTCCCAAGTTGAAAATACATTTTAATATATCTAACCTACCAAACATCATAGTGTAACTTAATCTGTCATAATTAAATGCTCAGAATACATAATATTAATAATAATTACATAATATATAATTACATAATGTAAGTACATAATAACTACTTGAATACATAATAATAATATTAGCCTACAGTTAAATAAAATCACTTAATAAAAAGCATATTTTATAAGTTCTGAATATATCATATAATTTATTGAATACTGAAAGTACAAAACAGAATAGTTGTATGATACCTTCTGTACCACTGTGAAGTAGAAAAATCCTAAATAGAACCATTATTTTATGCTGTGTCTCATTCAGTATAGGGCCTAGGTTTGGACATAAAACTACCTCGAGTATGTTTTTACCAGCAGAGAGTAGAGCATCTAGTACTGTCTTCTCCTCTATTCCAAATACTAACTTGGCCAGGTGCAGTAGCACTCACCTGTAATACCAGTTACTTAGGAGGCTGAGGCAGAAAGGTTACAAGTTCAAGGCCAGCCCCTGCTACATAATGAGGACTTGTCTAAAAATGAAAAAGAAAAAACCCGGATACTAGCTAAAATGATGGTGATGATGATGATGATGATGATGATGATGATAATGATTACAGTGATGATCTAAAATTACTTATTTCATGATATCAGAAAGCCTAGAAGTATCATAGGACAATGTTGGAACCACTAAACTTCTGTGGTTAAGGAACATGAGCCAGAAACATTCTAAAAAGCATCAGCTTTTCCTGTACTCTGGATCAAACCTATGTTAACTTCTGGAAAGGATAAACATACATAGTTGAAATCTATTTTGAACTGCCTGTAAGACAAAGGGCATTTTGACTTTCCTGCATTTTGATTAGCCATTCATTCTAGCTGCCTTGCTTGCTAAAGAAAATGATTTCTCTGAGATTCTTCTCTCTCTATGCACCCACAGAAATGTGTAATTGCTACAAAGCAAGTGCGGGGAGGGACAACTGCCAAGGGGAAATCTGCTTCATCTTCTTTGTTCACATCTGCTGTGGAAGAGACAAGATTTATTGCTCTCTTTGAGAAAGGGATTGCTTAGTTTGCTTCCCCTTCCCCCCCTGACAGATTACCCCAGAGGAATATATCTCATCACATTTATCCCCAAATGAAGTAAAAGGAAATGAAGGAGAGCTGGAGTCAGAGGATCAGCTGAGAGCACGAGGAATATAAAAGTAACTGATCAGTGGCATATTCTAGACCAGTCCCCTATCTCTTTCTGGTCTCCTGTAGCTTGTTTTCTGTGAGCAGGTGTTCTGTTCCAGGTCTTCCATATTCAGCTCTGCATGTTGAAATAGGATTGTAGTTTTTCTAATACTGAAAGAGTTCTGTCTTTTCTTAGCATTCAGAAATATATTTGATGCATCTTTTCTGTTTTCTAGTTCTTGTTTCAGGAGGAAACATCCCTCCTTCTTCCTTTCTATTGTTACCCTCCCCCCCTAATGTAGTCATGCAAGACTACATTATTTCTTTCGTATTTTCCATGCTTTATGAATATTTACTACATATTATAGGGTCCTAAATTTAATCTGGCTTTACTTTTTTAAATCCCACATTATGTCTAGTCTTACTCAATGTCCAGATAAAGCTAATAAATTCTTCAGCTTAGTTTTTACTGTAGTAAAATGAATATCTACACTCACTTGAATAGTTCTCCCCAGGATGAGCTATTTCATGTTAGAAGCATTTGTGAGATTTCTTTTTGTGACTTTTAGAGATGGAGCACCACTTAGATACAGAAGACCAGTGTAGTTAGGAATTTAGCTCAGATTCATATCCTGACTTTTATTTTGTTTGTTTGTTTGTTTGTTTTTGTGGTACTAGGAATCAAACTTGGGACCTTGCGCTTGCCAGGCAGACACTTTTGCCACTGAGCTATATCCCTGGCCCAGTATCTTGACTTATATACTGACCATAACCTTGTAGAAAGTATCATTTCCTTTCTAACAAATATCAACCTTTCTGAGTTTCATTGCCTCATTAGTAAAAAGAAGTAATAATACCATCCTATATGGTGAAGGTTCAACAAAATTATGTCATTGAAATAACTTGCATTTCATGTCTGGCACATGGTAAACACTTAAAAATGATAGCTATATAATTATAATAACTATTAATATATAAGTGATAATTTACAATTCAGTTCTCTCTTAATACATGAACAATTATTTTGATTTTTCCCTTGTTTCAGTGGGTGGCCACTTGTAGTTACTATATTTCAAGAGAATTCTTCAGTAACTTTGTCAGCTGTTATCTTTTTTTCAAGAATTTCCAGAAGTAACAGAATCTTTACATTCTATAGATTTGTACTGTCCAATACAGTAATCAGTAATTACATGTGCCTATTTATATTTAATAAAAAATGACAAACATGAAGTTACACAGCTATTCCACTGCCATATTTCAAGTACTGATTAGTCATGTATGGCTAGTATCTGGCTACTCATTCAACAACATAGTTATAGAACATTTCTGTCATGATGCCAGGAGGATTGGTTTCTGGTGAGGTCTCTCTCCTTGATTTAGATGGCCCTTTTTTAATGCGTCATTACATGACCTTTTTCTTTAAGGGAAAAAGAGTTCTCATGTCTCTTCTATCAGACTAGGGCCCTACCTTTATGACTTCATTTAACATTAATTACCCCCTTAAAAGCCCGTCTTAAAAGTCCAAAGTCAAATTGGGGGTTAGAGCTTCAACACTATGTTAATGCTTTTTAGTATTTTTGGATTTCCTGTCTTAACCTAATTAGGTAGAAACTGTATTTAGTATTTGCAAGAGACCAGATGTATCAAGTATCTGTATTTCTGTGAGTACAGAGGCTTAAATCATACCTGTGGTGTTTGCTATAAGGTACTGCTCAACTCTGAGGCAAAAAAATGTATATCAAAATGTATTATTTTTCTTATAAAATAGATTGTAATATAGGTTAATAATTGTCTCCCCCCCTCTATTTTACAGATGGAGAAATTAGCATACAGAGAAACTAACTTGTTAGAGGTCAGAGCAAATTATTGGTGGATTAAAGGATAAAACCCAAACATCTTCATTCTTTGACCAGTTTTTTAGTCCATTGACTATGCAGCCTAATGGTAAGTATTTTTTTATACTAGCCTAGAAGTAAGGGATTAAGAGACCTAGCAAGGACTGAGTTTAAGGAGTTCTTCATTATTAATAAATTACTCATAATCCTTTTCCTTTTCTTTATAGCTATGATGTCATTTTTGTTATTAGCATAAATTTTCTAAGTTAGAAAGGAAGTTTAAAGTTTTACTTTTTAAATACCTACAAATATTTTCTTAATAGTTTGGCCACATTAAAGGTTATTACTAATGGAAAATAAAAGAAACTTAATATTTAGTACATTTGTTCTCTGTGTTAGCATGCTAGATACTTTATATCATCTTACATAAGTGTCACTAAAATTTATAACCATGTCTGGGAGTTACTCATTCTTGCCATTTTATGGTGACTTTTAAATAGTATTAATTGGACATATTAGAAGCAAGCATTTTAGGACTTAGATTCTAAGTCAGATTTGACTTTCATGAACACTAAGAACCTATCAAAAATCTCTTGGGAGAAAATCTCTTTACATTCAAGTATCATTTTCTAGGTTATTTTATTTATCAGTGCATGTTTATAGTACAGGATGTTTACATTCCTCTTTGGGAGTACTTTTATCCCCTTCCTTTCCAAACATTTCTTCTTTCCTCATTCTCTCCTTTCCCTATTTTCAATATTATTGCTATTGAGTTTTATTAGTTCACTTTTATGACATGTAATGATTATATTTTTTGTGGGTAGCTGGTACATGTACATGACACATCTTAAGTCTTTTTTATATCACCTTCCCTTTCCCTCTCACCCAGTCCTCATGCTCTTGATTGCCTTCCTGTTTGTGAAAGATCTTTATTTCCTTTCATCTGTCTTTTATTTTGCTTTTTATTTGTACTTGGATAACTTAAATGAAAGAAACTAAGGTATTTAAACTTATGTGTCTGATGTATTTCACTTACCATTATGTTTTCAGGGTACATCTATTTTCCTGTAAATGGTCTCAAATTTATCTTGCTAGCTGAGAAGTACTGCATTATGTGTAGATACTACCATATTTCCTTTACCCATTTATCTGTTGTTCACATATAGGCTGCTTCTATGATTTAGCTGTTATTAGTTGTGCTACTATAGGTATTGGTATGTATTGCTATAATATGATGTCATTATTATCTTTTTCTAGTTTATTATATCTTGCCTTTTTTTGTCCTTTGCTCAGGACTTAACTGATAATTTTTCTAGTTTGAGACTAAGTCAAGCTTGTTCTTCTGCTTCACACTAAATTTAGGATATTTTCTCACAAGGGTACTGTATACTTCTGTTAACATAGATAAAATTTCTAGGGCAGTTAAAGAACCTAACTACATGAAATAAAAGGGTGTAACAGGCCTTTGTATTAACATATCCTGTCACCCAGCTCTTCCCTCTTTTTCTCTTTACCCTTTGGTTTCTTCTTACTCTACCACAGTAAAAATTAGAGCTGCTGATATTGACCACTTCTATTCCTGAGCCATACTGAATTGCAGTGGTCCAACATGACACTGTCCAGTAAAAATCAGTGCAAACCATGTACAGTGTATAATTTATAGTTTTATAATAGCCACATTAGAAAAGGTAAATTAGTGATACATTTATTTACAAAATACAATTTTTTATAAGTGTACAGTAAAACTCGTGATAAAAATTTGAAATTTGGTGTGTATTTTACACTTACAGCACATCTTAATTCAGATCAAAAATACTTGATCTATATTTAGATTTTCAAAAATTTGCAGTTGAAAAAATAGGTTTACAGTATTGTTCCAGACATGCTTAAAAGTCTCCTCAGTAACTCCAGTCAGTTTTTGAAAATTTAAATTAATAAAAATTGATCCATTCTGCCAGTCTGTTTTTTTAATTGGTGCATTGAGACATTAATGGTTATAACTGTTATATGTTGGTTTATTGTTGACATGTTATCTTTCTGCTGTTGCATCTTTATCTTTCTGTTCTGTTTAATTGTCTGCTTTGCTTAGTGGTTTTTTCGTAAGTATATCTAAACTGTCTTTCAATATTCTTTGCAGGGTTGGCTTGGTGATCATGAAGTTCTTCAGCTCTTCTTTGTCATGGAAGTATCTTATTTCTCCCATCGACTTTGAAGGACAGTTTTGCAGGGTACATCAGTCTAGGTTGGAAATCATTTTCCTTTAGGATCTGGAATACTTTACACCATGCTCTTCTTGACTTTATTGTTTGTGCTGAGAAGTCTGCAGTGTCTCTGATAGGTTTTCCTTTATAATTGATCTGTCTTTTCTCTCTGACAGCTTTTAATATTACATTCTTATGTTGGATTTCTGGGATGGTGATTATTATAGGTCTGGGTTTAGTTTTATTTTGGTTATGACTATTTGGAGTTCTATATGCTTCACTGATCCTGATGTCGGTTTCTGATCTCATGCTTGGGAAATTTTCAGCTATTACTTCTCTAAATATCCTCTTGATATCCTTTATGTTGTCCCCTTCTTTTTCATTAATCCCTATCAATCTTATGTTGTTTTTCTTTGTGTCATCTTGCAGTTGTTGAATTGTTATTTCCTGATTCCTTGTTATTTTTAAAAGATCTTTCCTTTCCTGTTCATTAGCTGCAATCTTATCTTTGAGGCCTGAAATTTTATCTTCACTTTCATTGAGGCAGTTTTTACAGCTTTCCATGGAATTTTTGATTTCCTGTGTATCTCTGTGCATCTGCTTTATGTATTCTATTTGTTTCTTATATTGCTCATCCAGGGATTCTATCTTTTTGTTTAGTTCCTCCAATTTTTTTAACTGTGTCTTCTTTAGACATGTTCAGCATCTCCTTTATTTCTTTTATCATTTCTTCTTTTATCTGGGAGATTATTTTTAGTTTGAATTCCTTTAAAGTTTCCCAGAGTTCCTTCTTATTTCAGTCGCTATTATGTCTGATATTTCAGGTGTATGGCATATATTTTCTTCTATGTACATCACTCCTAAGGTTTCTTTGGATGGGCTGGGGGTTTGAGATTGTAATTTGGTCTTTTGTTTTGTCATTTTCCTATATTTCTGTGTTTCAAGTGTATCAAGTATTATTCCAAGGCTTCCCCAGGGTCTGTTGGAGATCCTCTTCTATGCCCTCAGCTCCTGGGCCTCTGGCCACCCAGCTCCCCGGATTGAGAGAGGGTCTCTGGGGGTGGGGCAGGCCAGCCCAAGTCCAGCCCCCGGAACTGATGGTGCCTGCTCAACCAGAACTCCAGAGTCCTCCAAGCATAGCTGAGAGTGGGGAGGCCACCCTAGGCCCACTCAGGACCCACCACACTGGTCCAGTGCACCGGGAAGCCACAAAGTTCCCTCTCTAGGCTGAGTGAGGGTCCCAAACTGGACTCGGGAGAAAGTGCACGGGGCAGTTATGCCAGGCTGCCCAGCCTTTGGAACCGATGGCGCCCGCCTGCTTGCCTGCTCAGAACTCCAGAGTCTGCCAAGCACCTAAATTAATAAAAACTAAGTAGAATTAAAATGTTCACTTCCTCAGTCATATTAGACACATTTCAAGTGCTTAATTGTTCTATATGGCTAGTGGCTACCGTTGGACTGAGCAGCTCTAACATAATGAGTGCTTCATCACTTTTTTCTCTACATTATTCCCTCTTCATGCTATATCTTTCTGTTACATCATCCCAAAGTCCCCAATACTCAATTGAAATGTTGTCTTTTCTTTTAAACTCTTGTCTTCCTCACTCTTCACTTCTTCCTTCTGAGCCTCCTTTTAACGTAATACTTATAATACTTTATCAATTTATGTATGTCTTTCTTCTTCTAGACTTAAGAGTATATACTTTGTTATTTCTTGAATTCTCATGACCTAACACAGATCTGGAATGTATGTGTATAGTCATTCAATGAACTTTTGTTTACAGCTTGAATGACTGTAATTTCAATAAGGAAATAAAGACTTTAGGGTGTTAATTTGAAAACCGTATGCTGAAAATGGAATATAAAGGTCAAATTGAACAACATGACATAGAAAGTGATTTACTATTCTTGCATCTCTGCATTCATTTCATTTCATTGACCCAGGTATGTGAGATACAAAGGAGATTATTACATATGTATGCTGATAAATAGTTCATAATCAGTATAGACACATATGTTCAAACACAAGATATATGCACACGGGATACATTAGTACTGTCTTAGCCCCCATGATATTGTTTTCTGCTTAGTGAAACAGAATTCCAAGATTTAATAACATCTTGGAAATTTACCTAGTTAACTCCCTTTCCAGCCCATGAGATCCCTTTCAGCTTGTAAACGTTTTTATATCTTTGTTTTTAAGTGGCCTTTCTTTCTGCTTGGACATTTTCAAGGCTAAATATCCCATCCTGTAAAGGATAATTCTCATTGCCAGGAAATCTCTGACATCAGTTTCCTTGCAAAAAGTGCTTTTACAGATGCCTCCAATCAAAAAATTTTGTGAAATCCTTGATAACTACCCCAACAGAATATAAACTAAGCTAGTGCAAAAATCTTTATCTGCTTTATTCAGTGATCCATCTTCAGTGCCTAGAATGGTAACAGACAAATAGCAGACAATAAGTGGTTCTTGAGTGAATTAATCTATGTTAACAGGATTCAGCTGTGACTTCAATTTTTATTTATACATTTGCTTCTTTTGTAGATTGTTATTATAGATCTTTCATTGTTGTTGCCTGACCAACTCTTCTTCCTCCATGATACTGTTAAACATATTGAGCCTTAGATTCTTCACCTTTAAAAAGATGATGTATATGAAAATGCTTAACACTGGCCCAGTACAATATTTGGTGATGGTAGATATTGGATGAATCTACTCTGGAATCAAAGCAGCAATCTCTGAACCTTCATTCATCCTGACATTCCAGGAATTAAAGATGATTTTTAATTAATTGCTTAAATTGTAGCAAAATGTACATAATAAATTTTCCATTTAAATAATGGAAAATTTTCCATTTTTCTTCAGTGTTAGGGATCAAACCCAGGGGCTCACATATGCAAGACAAGCACTTTACCACTCAGGTGTACCCCCAGCCCTCCATTTTAACAATTTTGAAGTATATGGCCCAGTAGTATTTCTGTTGACATTCACATTGCTGTGCAACATCGCCATCATCTGCCTCTAGAATATTTATCTTTTAAAATTCAAACTCTGTACCCATTAAGCAATAGTCAGTACATTTTAATATTAGTGTAGGTAAAATATGATTGAAATAGTAAATATGTAATAGAATGAGATAAAGCTAAATATAAATAACTTTATGTGTAGTTTTAGATTATTTAAATGTTCAGTTATTCTTTATTAACCATGCTGACTTTTTGTATCTAGATATCATTCTCTATATTATAACTGTTTTGATGAGAGAATACATTGAAATATTCTTCATATATATAAAGTGCATAACTGTTTTGCTAGGACTTTGCTTAGAAGTGTGACCAGTAAGCTATTACAAAGTGACATTTGTCCTGGACCTTGAGACCTAAGTAGGACTCCCTCAAAGAGAGAAGTGGGCAAGGTCCATAGATATAGGGAAATCTGATGTGTTTGAACAGGTTTGGATAGAATTTAAGCTTGATCCTTGAAATTGGGTAGTGACATAATTGGTATGTATTTTAGAAAAGGTGTTTATGTATGAAAGGTTAAGATACAAGTATTAAGTAACTTTTATGAATCAAGATATGAAACAATGTCATTCTAAACACAGAATAGGAGCAGAAGAATGGGAGAGAGAGGAGCAGATCATTTTAGAAGTACAACTGACAGAATTGAATAATTGATTTGTAGGACAAAGTGAGAGTCCTCCCTAATTATCTTCTTTCCTTTGTCCTCCAAATCACTTGGTGGGCTCCTAGTTCCTAAGCGGTTATATTAACCGGAAAAGAAACTACCAGAGAAGAAAGATACTGCCTAGGTAAAAGAGATAAAACTGATTACTAAGTAGTGTCTACACATTATACTCTGAAACATGGCCATTATTCATAAAATGCTTTGAAAAATTAGTTCCTTGTGTGTGTGTGTGTGATTCTGTTCACATGCTATATTTTCTTCATTTAGGAGTTGATAAAAGAATGGTTACGTAATCCATTGAATAATCTGTGGCACTTCTTAAAACTTACACATTTTGTAACGTGATTGTCTCCTTTTCTTCTTTGTATGCTACTTTTCAGGTTCTACTCCTATACTTCTGAGAAGTTCCCTTTTCATTGTCTTAAACTGAACCTTATTTGATGACTTTTCACCTAGTTATTTTGTTTATTTTGCTTCTCCATTGAATCTAGATTTTGTTTTCCTCTTTACTAGAGTATCTTTTTTTTCTAAATTGTGTTGGTTGCTTTGTAATATTGTTTTATTGATGATCTTGCAGCTTGTTTTTATTTATCATGACTTTCTTAAATCAGTTTTCTGTGTATTGGCAGCTTCTCTTTAAATGATACAGAATTAAAACCTTACATGTAATTGGAGTATATATGTTTAATTTTTAAGAATACATCCTAATTATAATATAATTGTAAAACTTTTAAAATATAAATTTAACTGTAATCCTCTAATATCTGTCTGTAAGTAACTTTTAAGCCTGATTTAATTCTAATGTTTATTGATGATTTAGAGGGAAACATATATAATGACACAATCCAGATAAGGGGTATCAAAACCAGGAGAGAAGAACTTAGAATGAAATACTAGCCAGAATCACTGAAGTGTATTGGAAAAGGGAACATTACAACAGTGTCAGAGAAATAGCAAAGCCAGATCCTATGTGGTTTTGTAAAGTATCCTTAACTCAGTGGGAAGCTACTGGAGGTTCTTGAGCAAAAGATGACAGAATTTTTCAGTGAGACAGAAACAATGGGAGGGATAGATAGATAGCTAGATAGATAGGTAGAGATAATAGGTAGACAGACAGACAGGAAATTTATTATGGAAATGGGCTTGTTATGGAGGCTTCTGAGAAGTCCCATTACACTATCTGTAAGTGGATAGTGTAATTCAGACAAGTCCAAAGATCTGAGAACCAGGGAAGCTGACAGATGCAGCTCCTGCTCCAAGGCCAAAGACCTCAAAAACTGCAAGGGTTGTGAAGAGGGGCTCAAGAACCAGGCGCTAACATCTGAAGGCAACAGAAGATGAGTGTTTCAGCTC